ATATGGGCGCAGATCAAGAACGGCGTTGCTGCCCGAAACACGACGTTCAAGATTGTCGACGTGGGGAGACTCCTCAACGAAGAAGTTGACAAGGTCACCACTGACAACTGGATTAATGCTGTCAGGCACGTTATTGACATTGAAGCAACGTTCCGACGAGGCGGTGCCACAAGTGCCCACATCCAGCCCATCGTCATCCAGCTGGATGGAGAGGACACCCCATCCGAGAGTGACCTGTCTGGTGTCGAGCCCCTTGACGAAGCTTAAGGCCACCATTATGGAGAAAGCGTGGAACATCTCGGAACACAAAACGGTCCTTTTAAGGACCACTTATTTGCTTTAAGATCGGATTGTTGTTCTTGACCACCACTAACCTCCCGTGTCTCATGTTGTCATGCTTCTCTGCTCGTTGCCGAATAGCATTTCGATATGCAGCCACCAGACAAACTTTTTATATTTGTTGCGATAATGTCTAAGCTGGTCTATACATTGCACTGTGCCATAAATCACCAGTATAGATTTCAACTTCACGAAAACAAAAGTTTGCAGCCCATCTACGGCAAAGACATCAGATGCCATATTGACCCTTCCCGCTGTCTAAAGATCTTTGCTACGCAGCAAATGGAATTTTGATTGCAAATAAGCTCTTTTTTGTCTAAGAAAAACGACACAACATATCACTGCCAGTGCTCTGCTTTAAAGCATAAATGGGACGTCTGTGGCCATTTACATGACTGAGGCTTCTGGGAATAACAAACCCGTGTGTTAGCACAGTGGAGAGCGAAATCGCAGTACCAGTACTCTGTTTCTAAGTCTAAAGGGAACGCCTATGGTCATTCACATGACCGAGGCCCCTCTGAAAACAACAATAATGTGAGCCAGCACTGTGGGAAGCTAACTCTTAATGCCAATGACCTGTTTCGAAGCATAAACTGGACGTCAGTGGCCATTCACATGACCGAGGCCACTCTGAGAATAACAATAACGTGCATCAGCGCTGCGGGCAGCTAACTCTAACTGCCAGTGACCTGTTTCGAAGCATAAACTGGACGTCAGTGGCCATCCACACGACCGAGGCCACTCTGAGAATAAGAATAACGTGCATCAGCGCTGCGGGCAGCTAACTCTAACTGCCAGTGACCTGTTTCGAAGCATAAACTGGACGTCAGTGGCCATCCACACGACCGAGGCCACTCTGAGAATAACAATAATGTGCATCAGCGCTGCGGGCAGCTAACTCTAACTGCCAATGACCTGTTTCGAAGCATAAACTGGACGCCAGTGGCCATCCACACGACCGAGGCCACTCTGAGAATAACAATAACGTGCATCAGCGCTGCGGGCAGCTAACTCTAACTGCCAGTGACCTGTTTCGAAGCATAAACTGGACGTCAGTGGCCATCCACACGTCCGAGGCCACTCTGAGAATAACAATAACGTGCATCAGCGCTGCGGGCAGCTAACTCTAACTGCCAGTGACCTGTTTCGAAGCATAAACTGGACGTCAGTGGCCATCCACACGACCGAGGCCACTCTGAGAATAACAATAACGTGCATCAGCGCTGCGGGCAGCTAACTCTAACTGCCAGTGACCTGTTTCGAAGCATAAACTGGACGTCAGTGGCCATCCACACGACCGAGGCCACTCTGAGAATAACAATAACGTGCATCAGCGCTGCGGGCAGCTAACTCTAACTGCCAGTGACCTGTTTCGAAGCATAAACTGGACGGCAGTGGCCATCCACACGTCCGAGGCCACTCTGAGAATAACAATAACGTGCATCAGCGCTGCGGGCAGCTAACTCTAACTGCCAGTGACCTGTTTCGAAGCATATACTGGACGTCAGTGGCCATCCACACGTCCGAGGTCACTCTGAGAATAACAATAACGTGCATCAGCGCTGCGGGCAGCTAACTCTAACTGCCAGTGACCTGTTTCGAAGCATAAACTGGACGTTAGTGGCCATCCACACGTCCGAGGCCACTCTGAGAATAACAATAACGTGCATCAACGCTGCGGGCAGCTAACTCTAACTGCCAGTGACCTGTTTCGAAGCATAAACTGGACGTCAGTGGCCATCCACACGTCCGAGGCCACTCTGAGAATAACAATAATGTGCATCAGCGCTGCGGGCAGCTAACTCTAACTGCCAGTGACCTGTTTCGAAGCATAAACTGGACGTTAGTGGCCATCCACACGTCCGAGGCCACTCTGAGAATAACAATAACGTGCATCAGCGCTGCGGGCAGCTAACTCTAACTGCCAGTGACCTGTTTCGAAGCATAAACTGGACGTTAGTGGCCATCCACACGTCCGAGGCCACTCTGAGAATAACAATAACGTGCATCAGCGCTGCGGGCAGCTAACTCTAACTGCCAGTGACCTGTTTCGAAGCATAAACTGGACGTTAGTGGCCATCCACACGTCCGAGGCCACTCTGAGAATAACAATAACGTGCATCAGCGCTGCGGGCAGCTAACTCTAACTGCCAGTGACCTGTTTCGAAGCATAAACTGGACGTTAGTGGCCATCCACACGTCCGAGGCCACTCTGAGAATAACAATAACGAGCATCAGCGCTGCGGGCAGCTAACTCTAACTGCCAGTGACCTGTTTCGAAGCATAAACTGGACGTTAGTGGCCATCCACACGTCCGAGGCCACTCTGAGAATAACAATAACGAGCATCGACATATCTTGCTATGTTTCGTCGACAAGATCTTGGTTTGGTTAGGGGTGCGCTGCTTAGTTGGTGAGCAAGGGTACGGGTACATGCACGGGGGCACGACCACCCTTACACGCTGCTGCGAAGCGGCATGTACGGGTGGGCTGGGTGGGTCCACATCTTTCTAATGAACTGCTGGAGACTGTCGCCGCAAAGCGTCGTGAACTGGGTCGGTCGGATAGTTTAATATGTGCTTCAGTGATAAACGCACAACAAAATGTTCCTACAGCGTGAAATTTTTGTGTCGATGAAACTTCACAGCACAGTGTGGCAGTATCAATGAAACGAGTCGTAAAAAGTTGATGAAACGTGTCGATGAAACAACAGGGACCCTTCTTTCCAATGGTTCCATGGAGGCTCTGACAATGAGGACTGCAAGGTTGCCTCCAAGAAGCTCAATGATTTTACACGAGTCTGTCTTTGCCAAGGTAGACCAGAAAGACGATGGCAGATTCTGAAGAGCTCGTTCGCGGCTACGGCCTGGTATGATCCAGAGATAAACATACATCAGAAATGCAATTAGGCGGTTTGAGCTGCTGCTTGATTCAAACATTGTTGATTTTATTGTTATATAAAGACAAATCATTCTGCCACCTGCATTCGGACCAAGATCAAGAGTATTCGGTATGTTTTCAATTCTTGATTTAAACAAATATTTCGCATATAAGAAAGCCACAATTCATGAAGCAGGAAGCTGCCCTTGAAATCAATTTTTATTGACCATACTTTTCATCTTTTACAAATTATTAAACCAACGCTGCTATCCAGTATTGTGGACACATTTTCCTTCTTAAGTAAATTGGAAAAATTGGTGCGTGTTTACCGGTAATACCTCAGGCCGCGACGCAAAGCGAGTGGAGGTACAGGCGTCACGTACCCGGGTTTCGAAGCATAAACATACGACTGAGAGCGCCTCGAGAGCAAGCAGAATGTTCGGAAGCATTTGAGAGAACCGAATGTGCTTCCCTCAAATTCTCTGGTATTTCTTCCAAAAGAAGACATCAGCCTCTTAACGTCCAAAACAATATCAATTGAATGTTTGTAACATACGCATCACTGGCTTTATCATTTGTGTGCCACCTGTATGTAACAGCTCATTATTGCGAACGAGGGTGTACCCGCGGGTACTATCGCAATCATAGATTACCGTGCAGCCGATTGCGACGCGGAAACTTGAAAAGGACGCGACGTTTCAAAGATGAATGCATACTGCTTCGAAAGCGTCATTTCAGTAGACAGACTATTTATTAACGCCAGCAAAGGTACGGTCGAAATTGGGTAAAGACACTTACTGTGTTCGCGGTTCACTTATGCCCCTCCCGCACAGCCCACTACACTTATAAAGAAGAGTTTGGTGACCGCTGCATTTTAACGTCGCTCCACGGAAACCACTGCGAAGAAAAGCCGATGCCTTCACGATGTTGAGGCGCAACCCGAGGCACAGAAGCAGACGGCGTTCGACGTATGTACGATGCTAGGCCTTACTCCCGCATCGAAATTTTCGATGGCAATGCTATCGCTGGATTCTCACGCTGTCGCGCAGAACCTATTGCGAATAAAAGTGGACGCGGTTACGACTTAGCGACGTATGCTCGGGTAAGTGAAAAACCGCATTAAAGACAGAATAATTGCTGCAAGATACTCGAGTCGTAGAAAATCTGCCCGGCAGCCATGTTGAAAATATTCATTTGCCAGAACAAGATTGGTTCGGGCAGGTCGTGACGTCACGGAAACAACGGGACGTGATTGGTGGCGGAGGAATACAAGATTCCCTTTGAGGGGCTTTTGCCGCTACCTTCTTGACTTGTAACCGACTATAGTCACTGATTCGCTGGAAACGTGATCAATTACCGGCATCTGGCCGACTCCAAAAAGGCAGCGACGCCACCGGTCTACAAACAACACGGCGCCGTTTCGCACGGGAGACAAGAGATGGCGCAAGCGGTCGCGACGCCAAGTGCCGCCAGCGAACGAGCAGACGACGTCGAGAGCCGGCCCTTTTGCAGACAAGGAACTGCAGTTCCTTGCTGTTACCGCGCCTGCCTTTTTTGTTTCTGCGACTGTCGCCGCCTGCGGAACGCGCGCCGCTTTTGGGAGAAGACGACGACGTTTTCAGGCAATCAACGCCATTCTTCTTGCTCTTTTGGAAAAATAGAATTTTTCAAAGTTTCGTGATATTATCCAGTCAGATTTTCTTATTGACGTCAAGCGTCGAGGTCCCGGACGCGGCGCATGGTCGCCCTTTCCCTGTAAACACCGAACCGACGACCTGGGCAATGGACCAACCGCCACCAGCTGAAACACCCGAAAGAGGGGATCCTGGACCATCACATGGCAAGTCACCACCTCAATGTACCGCCCCACCACCGCCGACCCTTATCCCCGGTGACCTCAAGAAAGCTCCTATTAAAAGACGATGTACAGACCCAGACTCATATCACGACTATGATGATGACAAGACCTCTACTTATTCCGTTCAAGATGCTATTTTACATTCCAATGAAGACGAGTCTCCAGAAGATCCCATGCAAGTTCTGGAAGCCGATGAAGATAATCGGCCCTTTACCCCAGTCCACTACAAGAAAAACCGCCCTGCGGGCATTCCAGTGGTTTTCAAACCCAACAGTTCCAATGCATCCTTGTGGAGGGTGAATCCTAACGAAGTGGCCAAAGAGATCATTGATGTTGCACAGGAGAAGCTACTCTCACATAGGATGAACAAAGACGGGAGCCTTTTCGTGAGTGTTGCATCTCTGCAAGCAGCCAACAGATTACTAGCCATATCGACCCTTTGCTCTATTGAAGTGGCGACAAGTGTACCCCACTCCTACTCACGGAATTTGGGAAAAATCAAAGGAGTACCGATCGAGTATACCGACGAAGAACTACTAGACTATTTTAAAAATCTTGGAGTTATTTCTGTTCAACGGCAAATTTCGTATAGAAGACAAGAGGACGGCAACGTGGAACACCGCAAGACAGAAAGCGTGCTCCTCCACTTCCGCCCAGACCAACCAATGCCTACACGCGTTCTCTTAGGCTTCACAAGTCACACTGTTGACGAGTATTTTGGTCCTCCAGTGCAGTGCTATCATTGCCAAAGGTACGGACACATTGCGCAATACTGCCGTGGACCACGGCGCTGCAAAGTGTGCGCAGGTCCGCACCACCACAAGACTTGCACCAATCGGCAAGAACCCAAGTGCGCAAACTGCGGTAACCAGCATGCCGCTACCTTCTCTGGGTGTCAACGCAGAAAGGCTGCCTCGGTTATCCGAAGACAGGACGTCTTAAATGGCAAGGAAAATCGTGGGTTCGCGGCCACCTTAAACCCTGAAGTTGTGCGCGTCCCCTTGCCTGTCCCGGTTCCAACGGATAAGCGAGCCCAAAAGCCAACTTACAGTGACGCATTGAAGAAGACGACGAATGGAGTGAAAGAAAAACACAGAGAACGTCGGCCACATGAAGACGCACCTGAAGCAGCCAGAGGAATTCCATCAACTATGCAATTACTGAAATCAGCCCCTACCACTCAGACGACCATACGACAACCTATGTCGGTATCATCAGCTCCAAGGCGCAAACGACAAGAGCAGGCTGGTGACCTTGGTAGCGTCCTTATTCCAATGCTTTTTGCTGCGTTAAGGGCCATCATCAAAGCGATCCCTGATTCAGACAACCTACCAGAAGTGCAAGCCCTGCTTGCAATGGAATCCTTTTTGAAAGCAGGACCCTTCCACCGCTAGGAGCGGATGACCTCGGCTCAAAATCACAACTTCAAGAAACGTACAAACGATAAACCCGAAATTCCAAGAATACTACAGTGGAACGCTTGCAGCCTAAATCCCCGCCTTCCAGATCTTCAGAGGTATCTACTCTCCACTAGGATTGATATACTGGCGATTCAGGAACCTAACAACGATCCATCCAACTGCCGCCTGTCGCGCCTACGTAGCCTATTACAGTTCTACAAAAAGGAAGGACTGCAAGCCACGATCTGTAGTCTTTGTTCGCGCCGGCCTTCCTTAATCGCCAGTAGACCTATCTTCAGTTTCGAAGAGTAGTGCTGAATATGCTGCTGTATCTGTTAGATACAAAAACGTGGACTTCACAGTCGTCTCAGTGTATGTCCCTCCAAATTGCAAATGGGATGTCGGAGAGCTTTCCGATGTAAAGCAGAGAAGCAGAGGCCATCTTATACTCTGTGGAGATTTCAACGCCCACAACAAGATATGGGGTGACCGCAAAAATACAAGAAGAGGATTTGATCTTGATAGTATGACATCTTCACTTCATTTAGAGGCCCTTAATGACGGTGCGGAAACGTTCATCAGACCTGGAGTTGGCCGCAGTGTATTAGACCTGACGTTCCTGTCCCCGGATATATTGGCAGATTGGAATGTGCTAGCCGATTCCTGGGGCAGTGATCATATACCGATCATGATTACCAGCAAGTTTGCCAAAAAGACAAACAAAACTTACAGAGAGGTTCGAGTTACCAACTGGGATGTATTCCGATCTCACATGGACTTTGCTCTAGCTGGCAGCACGACAGAAGACACAACAGCCATGATTGCACGAGCCATTCAGCTGTCAACAAAGACCATTAGAGTACCATACACCCGGCCTGTTCCCGACCTCATGTACCTAAACCTAAGGGCTGCTCGACGCCGCGCGCAGCGACGAGCCCGAAAAACAGACGATCTGGATGATTGGAATGAACATCGCAAGATCGATGCCAAATTTCGACGATATACTAAGCGCCTCCAACGCCTACAGTGGAACCAACTGTGTGAGTCGTTTGGTTCCCCATCGGGTATTTCGAGAGCATGGAGGATCGTCAGAGTCTTGAAAGATAAAAAGCAACCCGAGCATCCCGTTGCAGGATTAGCGCTAGCCCTAGGCCGCACTACTCAAGAAACCGCGGAGCTTCTTGCTGATGCGTTCGCTGCCCCAATTCCGCCACCACAGGGATACAGGGACAAGCCTCCAGTTCCATTGAAAACAAATCCTTGCTCAGAAATGGACGCTGATTTCACCATCACTGAACTTGATGTTGCCCTCCGACGCTCGCGCCGTCGAACCGCTCCGGGACCGGACGGCGTAACGTTTCAAGCACTGAGAAATCTTTCCTTCCCGCATAGAGAGGCCTTACTGGAGTCTATCAACAACATATGGAAAACGGCAAAAATCCCTGCAGCATGGCTCACCTCTGTAGTGGTTCCTATCAGAAAGCAAGGAAAACCCGGTGATCGGATTGAATCCTACCGGCCAATTTCTCTCACCAGTTGTGTCGGGAAATTAATGGAAAGACTAGTACTTTCAAGACTTACGTGGCTGCTTGAATCGAAAGGAGCACTGCCAGATCAACTCTGCGGATTCCGACGAAGGAGGTGCACCTTTGACGCCATTGCTGATCTCGTTTCGAGCCTTGAAGATGCACGTTCAACTCACCAAACAGTCTACTGCATATTTTTGGACATATGCAAAGCTTTCGATGCCCTACCACACCATACCATTCTGCGTCAACTTACACGGTACGGAATTAGTGGAAGAACATATGACTATATCGCCGCGTTCCTCACTGGCCGCAGCCTAACAGTAAGAGCTGCCGAATGTCTTAGCACTCGTCGGTCGGTGACCCAAGGCGTTCCCCAAGGAAGTGTACTGAGCCCGTTTCTGTTTAACCTTACCATGGCAGAACTTCCGCTATGCATAAACTCCGCAGAAACGTCCAGTACAACAGTTCACATGACGATATACGCCGATGATGTGGCAATTTGGTGTGTCGGTCCATCCAGACTGTCAAGGACCATCGGCAAAAGGCTTCAGAAAGTTCTTGACAGCACGACTTCTACTCTAGAAGAACTAGGACTTACTTTATCTACAAGCAAAACAGCCTTCCTCTGTTACCGCCCTGGTCGACATCCAAACCGCAAAGTTGCAAATACGCCAACCATTAAAGGAATACCGATCCAGAGAGTCTCAACGTACCGATACTTGGGGATGGAAATAGATGACCACGTTACATGGAGACCCGAGATAAAACGACTTGTAACGCAGTGCACTAAATTATTAACTGTGCTCCGTCACTTCCATCGCCAGAAATCTAGACTGCCTCCTCAGGGACTTTTGATTTTCTATCGTGGCCTTATCCTCTCAAGAATGTTATACAGCCTACCTCTCATCAGAATCAGAGCTCATCAAATGACCACACTCGAACGTTTTCACCGTGTTGCCCTCCGTCAGTGCCTTGGACTGCCACGCTTCGCGGGCAATACGGCGACACTCGTAGAGGCCAAGGATCAAACAGTAGCTATGCATATAAGAATAAGAGCAATGAATCATATCACTCGTATGCATGGAGCACGATCTGCGACATCACTGCTGTCCAACATTGAAGAGCGGTTTGATTCGCAGATAGGTCGATGTGTACAAGAATTTAATTTACAAATTGGACCTCCTAATAGCCATTACTTTCCTCCGGCACCTTTCATAACCCAACCGCCGTACATTGTAGAAGAAACGCTTCCTTATTTCCCGAAGAAGAATTCTATCTCAGCCACTGTTGGAAGCTCGCTTGTAGCTGACCAACTGACAAGCACGTACAATGGTTGGCTCCAAGTGTCTACTGACGGGTCAACGAATCCCACAACTGCAACATCTACAGCGGCATTCGTCATTCCCGATGCCGGAATCGAAGCATCACACCGCCTCAACTTCGCAACCACGTCCACGACAGCGGAGCTGGCTGCACTAGCAGCGGCATTAGATGCGCTTCACAACCTCAATCCTTGCAAGACTGTTATTCTCTCCGACTCTCGAAGTGCGTTATCCAATTTGGAAGCTTCAGACCAAGCTCCTTTTCTGGCCCAATGTGTGGCCGACAAGGCCCGAAAACTTTGCATGCGAGGGTGGCAGTTGGCTTTTCAATGGATTCCGTCACATATGGGTATCCCCGGCAACGAACGCGCCGATGCCCTTGCTTCAAAGGCACACAAGGAAGAAGAACCCAGTCTTTTCATCCCACGTTATTGCGAAGCGCGCAGACTGTGCAAATTAATTACCACAATGCGTCACCCCCATACAGAAGTTGCAAGCGGGAATCCTCCTCCATCGCTCCCCGAGTCAAAACTAACCAGATCAGATTCCACGCTGCTCCATCGCCTTCGTGCAAACTGCGCCTACACATCAACGACACTTCACAAGATCTCCAGGTCTAGTACACCCAACTGTGCCAAATGCAATGTGCCAGAGGACCTTGACCACGTCCTCCTAAATTGTTCTCACTGCGATCAAGCTCGACGGTCCTTTTTTACCACCATCCTAAGTGGCAGCACAACTGTGACTCAAAAGAACGAAATCCTTTTTCCTACCGGAGGTCGACGAAGAAGAGAACTTGTTTATAAATCTCTTCTTGAGTACCTCAAAGCCACTGGACTTGCAACGCGCCTCTAGCCCACCGGCCCGCCACCTAGACCAGCCACGCCTTCTCGTCTCAACTGTCATCGACTAATTTGTGATCTCCATACCAGAAGACAGTTCTGCAGTGTCCCCTCTCCCTCAAGAAAATAGCCTCCTGATTCGACCCTACTCATCCAGAGATTGGTGACCAAATCACCCCCCAACCCCTCTTCTCTTCTTTTCTCACCCTCCTTCCCCACCTGTGCGAGTCTTGCCCCTGCCCAAGGAGGCTAACATTACGTGCAGGTATCCCCTCTTCCCGTGTGTAACAACACTCAACAACAACAAACAACAACGCGCCGCTTTTGAGTCGAAAAGATCGTCTGCTAAAAAGGCCTGCTCTCAGCGCCGTACGCTCGTTCATTGGCGGCGTTTGTTGCGCCATCTCTTGTCTCCCCTGCGAAACGGCGCCGTGCTGTCTGCAGACCGGTGGCGTCGCTGCGTTTCCATAGGAGCTAAGCCTTTTTCTTTCTTTTTCCTCAGGTAAGTTCGCTCTTCGAAAATTTTACAAAAAAAAAAAAAAAAAATGCACCATCTGTGGGCAACGCGGCACAAAGTCGTAGCGCGATAGGTTAAGAAACCGAATTTTCCGGTCGATTTAAAGAGCCTGCCGTCTCCTCGTTTCACCCTGTAGTTACACGCGCTGCGCGTGCTGGGAGTCTGCAGCAGTAACTGTTCTAAAGCAAAAGCTCAAAACCAATGGCATCTTGGACGCGCGTTCGCCAACGCTTTATTTTGGTTATTTACTTTGAATCTTTTATACGGGAAAGGCGAGCGCGTGTGGCGCGTGTACATACATTTCCAGCGTTCTCCTCGATGCTTGGGTAATTTGTAATTCCCAGCAGTACGAGCGTAATTGGGTAATTACGCTCGTACTGCTGGGCAGGGTGTCGAATGACACGGCCGGAGAAGCCGTCGCGCGCGCGCGCGCTTCGGGATCTCGGAGGCCATGCACATTTCGCGAGCGAAAATCGACCACTAAAATAAGCTGTTAAATCCAATTTAAGCTGGCTAGGCTGAGACGCAAATTTTTCCGGCTCATTTTACAGCCAGTCACGCGAGAGTCGCCCATTCTAATATACAATCTTTACTTCACTTTTTGCTCGAAATTCAGCGTCGCGAAGTAGAATAAGGATATGACCAAATTGCCCAGGGGCCCATAAATTGCGAGTTGGATTACCTAGGTATTACCATGGCAACCTCGATGGTTCCGACAGACCAAACAAAAAGCAAACGTTAAAGAAAAAAGTTTCACTTTCGAGATATCAGCGCCATTGCTGCG